TCTGAATACCTTGTTCACCATCGTGGTATCTCTCACTAAGGAACCCATTCTACAGAATAAGAAGTGAGGCAGTACACTGACTACCATAGGATTCAATGGTTTTATTATGAACCTCGTTGCCCAAAAGCTGGCCTTATAGGACAGTGGGCTGGAGCAGTGAAGACTCAGGTACAGCCCCAGGTAGGAGACAACACTCAGCAAGCTGCGTGTACTGTCCTTCAAGTGCAGTATATGCTCCAAACCAAGTTGCATGAAACCAGGAAACAGTAGAAGGGAAACTGAAAGTGTTGTCTCCCACAGGTAAGCCTTACCACACACTTTCGAAATCAGTGCTTCCTGCTCCTATGACATCATCGGCTCTGTTCCCACTGGAGGGCATATCATTCCTCAAACAGGAACTTGAAACTGCATCTGGATATTGCAGGTACATGATACCATCAAGTCATCAAGAAAATAAGGGAAGTCCTGACCGGTTTGGCTCAGTGGATAGGGCGTCGGCCTGAGGACTGAAGAGTCCTGGGTTCTAATAGTTTGGGAGGTTTTTTTTGGTGGAGTCTTTTGGGAAAAAATTTTTTTAAATATATATATTTTTTATTTCAGAGAGGAAGGGAGAGAGAGAGAGAGACAGAAACATCAATGATGAGAGAGAATCATTGACTGGCTGCCTCCAGCACATCCCCCATTAGGGACCAAGCCCACAACCTGGACATGTGCCCTGACTGGGAATTGAACTGTGATTTCCTGATTCATAGGTCGACACTCAACCATTGAGCTAAGCTGGCTGGACTTTTGGTGGAGTCTTTAGGGTTTTCTATACATAAGATCATGTTATCTGCAAACTTCTTCCTTTCTGATTTGGATGCCTTTGATTTCTATTTCTTGCCTACTTGCTCTTGCTAGGACTTCCAGTACTATGTTGAGTAAAAGCATCAAGAGTAGGCACCCTTGTCTTTTTCCTGATGCTAGAGGAAAACCTTCCCTTTTATTAAGTATGATGTTAGCTGTGGGATTGACATATATGTCTTTTATTATGTTGAGGTACATTCCTTTATACATACTATTTGTTTAGAGATTTATCATGAATGTTGAATTTTGTCAAAGGCTCTTTTACATCTATTGAGATTATCATATGTTTCTTTTATCCTCACCTGAAGATATGTTTTTATTTATTTTAAAAGGAGAGAGAGAGAGAGAAAGAGGGAGACAGACATTGATCAGTTGCCTCCCATACATGCCCCGGCTGGGGATCAAACCCACAATCTCCTGGTGTACAGGACAACGCTCCAACCAATTGGGTCCCCAGCCAGGGCTCATATGGTTTTTATCCTTCATTTTGTTACCATGGTGTATCACACTTATTCATTTGCATATGTTGAGCCATCCTTGCATTCCTTAAATGAACCCCACTTGATTGTGGTGCATGATCCTTTCAATGTATTGTTGAATTCAGTTTGCTAATATTTCATTGAGGATGTTTGTCAGGGATATTAGGGCCCCCCCCTTTTTTTTGGTAGTGTCTTTGTCTGGTTTTGATTTCAGGGTTTTATTGTCTGGCTTTGGTATCAGGGTAATGTTGGCCTCGTAAAATTAGTTTGGAAGAGTTCTCTCTTCTTCTGTCTTTGGAAAGATTTTGAGAAGGATTAGTGTAAATGTCTTAAGTGTTTGGCAGAATTCATGAGTAAAGCCACCTGGTCCTGGACTTTTTGTTGTTAGGAGGTTTGTGATTACTGATTCAATGTCTTTACTAGTAATTGGTCTGTTTAGATTTCCTTTTCCTTCATCGTTCAGTATTGGTAGGTTGTATGCTTCTAGCAATTGTTTCATTTCTCCTAGGTTCTCTAATTTGTTGTATAATTGTTCTTAATTTCTTATGATGCTTAGTATTTCTTTGTTGTCAGTTCTAATGTCTCCTCTTTGATTTGGGTTTTGGTTTTTTTGTTTGTTTTTTTGCCTCTCAGTTTAGTCTGTAAATTTCTCCGTATGTACAAACCATACCGCAATAAAGATTTTCCTTCTACAGTATATCTGTTTGCAAATGTGGGAGTTTCTCCAGGATTTATGCCTAGGTGTATAATTGCTGGATTGTAAGATATATGGTCATATAATTTACCAAATTGCTTTCCAAAATGTAAAGGGTATACTTCTGTTCCTCCTCTCCCATGTTTTGTGCCATTGCTGTCATATATTTTCTTCTACATATATTATAAACTACAAAGTACATTTTTACTACTTTTGCTTTGAATAGATAATTATCTTTTAAAGAGCTTTTAAAATGAGGAAAATAGCTCTTATATATACTCATATATGTACCATTTCTGGTGCTCTTTATTCCTTGTGTAAATTGAAATTTCCAACTGGTATTGTGTTCTTTTTACCTATACCACTTTGTCGGATATTCCTTGCAATGCACATATGTTAGGGACATTTCTCCCAGTTTTTAATATATAAAAGGTCTTTATTTTATCTTCATGTTAGATACATTTAAAAAAAAATTTATTGATTTCAGAGGGGAAGGGAGAAGGAGAGAGAGAGATAGAGAAACATCAATGAGAGAGACACATTGATTGGCTGTCCCCTGCACATCAGAGGATAAAGCCCTCAACCCAGGCATGTGCCCTGACTGGGAATCAAACCTCTTGGTCCATGGGACAATGCTCAATCTACTAAGCCACACCAGCCAGGCATATTAGATACATTTATTTAATATCCCTCTTTTAGCTAAGTGGTCTTTTCTCAAAAAGTGAATAAACTTAAGTTTTTGCTGAAAAGCTTCAGGTGTTATCATTATTGTTAACTTTGTGTTGTTTATCTCTACATGTTATTTGTAAGTATTTGATTATTGGATCAATTTATTATGTAATTATTTAAATTCAGTTATTATTAAAGAAAATATAACACCCAGGCTGGATGAACTGACCAGAATCAAGCTTGGCAATATGATTCATACTTCAACTTTGCTCCTAGGACAGTGCCTGCTAAGCACTCTTGGAATTTTTCATCCATTTCCTGGTTCTGAGTTTCATTGAACAGATTTTTCCAATCACCAACTTCACCTACAGCACACACAAAAAAAGTAGACACAGACACCTGTTAGAATATTTTTTATTTTACCATTTTTCATTGTAGTGTTTCACTTTGAAATGTGAAAAAGAACACATGAAAAAAATTAGACAGTCTTCAAAACAAATGTAGACCTAGCTGGTTTGGCTCAGTGGATAGAGTGTCAGCCTGTGGACTGGAAGATCTCAGGTTCAATTCCAGTCAAGGGCACATTCTTGGGTTGCAGGCTCAATCCCCAGTAGGGGGCGTGCAGGAGGCAGCTGATCAATGTCTCTCTCATTATTGATGTTTTTATCTCTCTCCCTCTCACTCTCCCTCCTTTCTCTCTGAAATCAATAATATATATATATATACTAGAGGCCCAGTGCACGAAATTCATGCACTGAGGGGAGGTCCCTCAGCCTGGCCTGTGCCTTCTCACAGTGTGGGACCCCTCACTCCTTACCACTTGGCTGGCTGCTCCTTAGCACTGCCGCGGAGGTGGGAGAGGCTCCAGCCACCACCACTGCACTTGCCAGCTATGAGCCCGGCTTCTGGCTGAGTGGCTCTCCCCCTGTGGGAGTGCACTAACCACCAGGGCACAGCTCCTGTGTTGAACATCTGCCCCCTGGTGGTCAGTCAACATCATAGCAACCAGTTGTTTTGGTCGTTCCACCATAATGGTCGCTTAGGCTTTTATTATATAGATTTTAAAAAACAAAACAAAATAAATGTAATTCCTTTTGTAAAATTAACAGTATACATTGGGACTTCTCCATCTGTGGTATAGTAGGTGACATGCTTTTTTTTTTTTAAATCTTCACCTGAGGATATTTTTTCCATTGCTTTTAGATAGAGTGAAAGAGTGGAAGTGGGGAGGGGGGGAAGTTGAGGGGGTGGGAGAGAGAGAGAAACATCAATGTAAGAGAGACATCTTGATTGGTTGTCTCCTGAAAACCCCGCAACTACTAGAGCCTGGAATGAACCTGCAACCCAGGTATGTGCCCTTGATTAGAAATCAAACCTGAAACCCTTCCCTGCATGGCTGACACTTTAACCACTGAGCAACACCAGCCAGGGTGGTGACTTGCTTTCTTGGCCTCAACGATCTGATCCCTCCATCTCTCTCCCAACACTCAGAACCTAAAATTCTAGTTTCTTGAGAGCCAGTTTTTTCCTCTCTAAAGTATTTTAAATAGCTTAAATATCCTTGAGAAGTTAACATTTTACAGCAAGTTTTGGTTAAGACCTCAGATACTGAAAATTTGCCAAGAGTGATTATTTGCCTGGGATTAGGATATGTTTTTCTTATTTGCTTTTAAAAGTAAAGGAAGTTGCCCTGACCAGTTTGGTTCAATTGTTTGATCATCAGCAGTTTGATCCCTGCAGGAGGCAGCCAATCAGTGTTTCTCTCCCTCTCCCTTCCTTTCTCTCTAAACAAGTGTAAGTCACCGAGTGAGGCTTCCAGCAAAGCTCTTAAAAGGGGTCTCACTGAGCTGACACACATGACTCTGTCTCTTGCCTTTCTCTTTTCATTTTAATAAAATAATCCTTTAAGTTTAATGTAATGGCGGAGCTCTCGTTGCTCCCTTGTCAGCACACAAGGTGATGAGCAGAAAGGCGGAAGGAACACAGTATCTAAAAAATACTGCGGAGCCGCCGGTCCCAGCTCTAAACTGTGTCCAGCCTTCTTGTTGACGGGGAGGAAAAGAAAAACATGTCTCATTTAAGCTCAAGTCACAGGGATCGCCTGTTACATACAAATGGACGGATGTCCGAGAAACCAATGCCACTTTACCTTTGCGGAACAGGAACGGGCCAACAGCCCCGTGCGTTTGCTGGGCCTTTGCTCGCATTGCCTGGAAGGTACTCTGAGCGGAGATAGTTTGAATCTGCTCCCCAGTGAGAGAGAATCCAAAGAACTCGGTGATTTGTTTAATTCCAGCGGCCAGATCCTAAAAACAAAAATGTGAAGGATAACCACCTTTTCTATGGGAATCGTGCTGTGAGCAAAGACAGGTTTCTTAGACAGAATGGATTCACTAAGCCTGTTTAACTCAACTGTCTATCTCTCTACTTAGATTTAATTTGATACCTCTGTATAAATAGTCAAGATAGCCTTAGAAGATATTCTGTATTGGTTTTACTTTATGGTTTTAATTTAGAATTCTTATTCCACTACTTAGGATATAAATAATGATAGTAAGTATTAATTAATACGTTAGAATTTTATCTACGATGATAGTCTTTTTTAAAATTTTATTGTTGTTAATCCTCACCCAAGGATATTTTTCCATTTGATTTTTAGGGAGAATGGAAAAGAGAGGGAAATACAGAGAGAAACATCAATGTGAGAGAAACACATCGATTGGCTGCCTCCTGCAC